GTATTTGAGAAGAGGGTATTTAAGGGTTATTTTTCCCAAATCAAGTCATTCTGCAAACAGCTGTTTCTGTTAAGATACTGTGACTGACAAAGGGTAATTTTCAGCTTCCTAGGTTGCTTTTCTTATTGTGATGGATGGTAGGCCTTTCTCACATGAACATAAAAAGGTACACTTAACAGGATTTTCCCCCCACCAAGTACATAGGAAGTCTTCTATCTGACAGACTCACTCTCCTAACTCCCTAGATTTAGGTGGGATTTGAATCTCTACAATACTACTTTTCTCTCTTGTCAAAGGCTTTGTACTCACTTGTGAAAAGCCTGAAGGTAGGAAAAAGGCAATAGATTGAATTTAGGAGGTTTATAAATGCTCTGCAACTTATTCTTTTGTCTGTCATCAACTTTTTGATGCATATCTAGTTCAGAAATGTCATTGGCCATTTTCTCCCCCTGCTGTTTTTTGGGTGCATTTTCAAAGACAGTAGATAGAAAAGGGGAAGCTGGAAGACTCATAGGTGTAGTTGCATTTATTTCAGCCAAGAATCACTGTCCTATTGAATCACTTTGCTATTCTCTTAACTTAGTAACACAGTAAAAAAACCAAATGAGAGTAACATGTATTTTAAGGCCAAAAGGAAATGGAAAAGGGGGTGAGAGATTGAGATGAGCAGAAATGAGCTTGCATGCTAGTCTCTTCAATGTTTCTTTAATTTTTTGTGTATAGGAGGGAGCTTGATTGATTTACAGGTCTTTACTAGCCTTAGCTGCTATTTTTAGGAATAGCCTGCTCTGTTAGAGGATGTTGACTATCATAGGTACAACATTTACAGAGTCGTTTATGATAACATCTAATACTTTGCACTATTATGGGGTATCTCTGAACCTGTGGGTCTAGAATGGAAGAAAGAGGGCTTGGGACACTCTTGGCTTGTCTAGGGAAACCTGAGGGGTGACTTTTTTCAGACCCAAGATGGCCACAGGGCTGTTGTAGACCCAGGCTGATAGGGTATCTTGGGGCCTGCTCCAAGTGCTCAGATGGCCTAGAGAAATTATTGGAACCTGTTAGTCCATAGTTATTGGTTTGCTAAAGGAGAAAAATAATAGGTGATCACTGCTGGATGTTACCCCCATTACTTCTTCTCCATCCCTTCCTTACATGATTTACCCCAAAACTAAGTGTTAAGAAATGTCAAAAACAAAGTGTGTTACCCCCTACAAAGGCCAAGTATTTTGGCCTATAATTAAGTTTGGGCCTCTTGGAGAATGAAAGCTATGAAGAGGAGATTTCTTATCACCAGTTTCGTGCACGTAAATACATGAGTTCTAAAGTCATTTTGAAAAAACATGAGAGGTATGGCTTTCTTTTGAAACAAGTGTGTTCTACAGATAACAGAGAGATTAAAATACCTGGTCTCTTCATCTATTGTTTGGACAGAAAATGCAGACTTTTTTTTTTACTTTAGAAGGTTTCTTTAATATAAGTAGCAGTTTCTGATAAGGTGGTATTGCTATGCATTTGCATTATTATGGAATTAAATTACAGATGGTGTCATTCAGAAAAGAATGCTTTGTAAATCAAGTAAAATCTCATAACTAAGATGAATAAATTCCTTTATATCTCACACTGCCTCATATTCCATACTTTAGTTTTATAAGCGTATAGACTAACTTCATGTAACTTTTAAAGTGTAATTCTCTTTTTTTCTATTTCTGGGTCCTGTTTTTACTTTGCAAAGATGTCATTAGATTCACAAGAAAAAGCTGAAGAAAAGTTACTGGATGTTAAGAACATTGATATAAAAGCACAAAGGCACGTTCAATTCTTTATCAGATTGACAGGAAGCGTGCCAAATACACTGTGTTCTCTTCCTTCCTTTCTTGCTGTCTCTCTAATTGCATTCAATATACATGGTATTACAACTCTAAATTGTAACACATTATAAAACCCCTATTATTCTTTTTTCGTTTAACTCATCAATTATTTGGAATTCCTAAATATGAAAGATAGTCCTAATTCTATACCTTTCCTTGCAGAGGGGTTACAAATTGTATTTTGTGGTTTTGTATGCTTATTGTCTGAGCCAAGCTATCTAGGTGGCTTTGCCATCCTGAATCAATCTTGCCCAGCAGCTGCCAAAAGCTGCTTTTCCCACTGCTTCCCCAAAGCACAGGAATCAGAGTGGACCTAAATGTGAGTATGCAGCAAGATAAAAAATAATCAAAGAGAAGGAGTAAGTTATTTACAGCTAGTTGGGGGGCAGGATATCCAAATGCAGCTGTAAGTAGCAATAAAAGGACTGAAATTAAGAAGAGAGGTCAGTGGTAGAGACAGAGATTTAAGATCTGAGCGATTGTACTGATAGATGAAACTTTGGGAAAACTTCAGTTCTCCAGGGAAAAGAGATTAGAGAGGAGGGCAGAGGATTTTAGAACTGGGCCTTGGGGAAATCTTTAATGTTAGGGAATGGGAGGAGAAAGAGAAACCCAAAGTAGACATGTAAACTAGCATGCGTGGCTTTAGAAGTCACCGAGTGCCTCTGCCTCCTCTGGGCTGTTGATTCTGAGCCAAATAACCTCAGTTATGTGGGCAGGGTAGAGATCCTAAGGGATAAAAATCCTTGTGACCATCTTTACCTTCGTGCAAGTTGTGGCATATGTAAAAAGAAGCCTGTGTTTTCTCTTAAGAATACACTAACAAGGGAAAGACCCCTGTTGGGATTTTTAGCACATACTAGGATTTCCTTATTGTCCTTAAATGTGTGGAAATGATGTAGCTATTCCTAGGTTACTTTTATGAATTTAGGAGGATTAGGTTAATACCATTCTCAACTCATACCACCAATAAATTCTTCTTTTTCTAGGATTTGCATAGAAATGTAAAAGTACATTGAAATTAAGATGTCATTTGATTTTGTAAGTCTTTTTAATTTGATTAAAAGTAAATCGAGTAATGGGAGAAAGACAAACTTACCAGAAAACAATAGTGTAGTTCTTAATTTCTCATGCTAGGTTTTAAGTTATGTTCAGATTCTTGCCAGGGCAGGGAACACAATAGAGCCACCTTGTCCCAGTGATCTAGTATTTAAAACAGCAGTTGCAATTTGTCTGAGTTTGCACTATATGTAGTTCTATAAAAGTTTTTAAGGACAGGGGCAGCACCCGTGGCTCAAAGGAATGAGGCACCGGCCCCATATGCCAGAGGTGCCGGGTTCAAACCCAGCCCTGGCCAAAAACCACAAAAAAAAAAAAGTTTTTAAGGACACACCCTGATTATCAGTGAAATTATAGGAATGCTTTAATAACAAGATAAATATGGAGATGTAATTGCATTAAGTGAATAGGAGGTGTCCGACTTTTCTTTGTTTTCTGCCAACTTTTGGTAGAATAGAATAAAAGTTGCCTTGGGCCACATAGTAAATACACAGACACTAAAGAAAGCTCATGAGCAAATAAAATAAAATAAAAATTAGAGGCCTGTGCATACTTTTCATAATATCTGACACCACAGATAATTGAAAGTCCTCACAAAATCAGCATGCATCTACAGAATGCAGGTTGGACACCCCTGGGCTGTAAGGCCTAGTAAATAAGGAAAATACATAGTGTATGTTGAATGAGAACACTTGGTAAGTCAATTCATTTTTCTCCTGAGAATTCAGGTGGCCCAGCAACTTGCACTCCTGGGTCTAAAAAAATAAAAAAGTTAAGAAAAAGCTGCCTTTTATCTTCCCCATAACTTCATATACAGTAAAGACACTTAGCAAATTAGCATCTGTGGGAAATAGAGTTGTGTGCAGTTGTGCTTGTCTTAAAAGGACCATGGTGGACCTAGTAATCCAAATGAGAGAATCATTAGCTGCTTTGTGTAGCACTCACAAGTTAAACTCAATAACAGGTCACATTATGACAGTGCGACAACCAATCCAGTGACATCCTTTGCTACCATAATCATTAGTCATGTCCGCATTTAGGTGCCGCCAAAGGCATGTTTGATTCCACAGGACTGACATATCATCACCTGTCTTAAAAGTGCTTATAGGCCTGTCCACCCTGCTGCCGGCAGGCCGCATGCTGATTTATGAGGACATTTTTCTGCTTATCTGTGGTGTCTGATACGGTGAAAATTATGGACAGATCTTTTTTTTGTTTTTTAATCAGCTTTCATTAGTGTTTGTGTATTTAATGTGTGGCCCAAGACAACTCTCATTCTTCTAATATGAAGCAGAGGAAAAAAAAGTTGGATACCCTCAGAACCATCAGTAGAACATTCTAGTAGCCAAGAACCCAAAATATATTTTGGTCTCCATTATTCAAGTGAGTTGGGACTAATGCCTCTGGAACCTAAGAACAACGTGGCTGCCACGTATAAGGATTTTGTCAGTGGATTTCAGGATGTTTCTCACCCAGAATGAGTTCAATATAAAGAGCTTTAGAGCCTAGGTTGTCCCAAATAATAGAGTCCAAAATTTATATATTTATGTCTGTGTAGTTATTAAATATTTTCCCTAGATTTTCTTGATCATTTATATATGTAGATCCAAATCCTAAGGGTTATTTAATTTAAACGTGCATAATTTAACATTTCATGTCGGAAAAATCTTACTAAAATCTGTAATGTTGTAATGATACACTGTTCCTGATATTTTACGTTTTAAATATAATCTGATGTATATCCAAAGTAGGGCACAGCAGAGTGGCTAACGGAATGAGTTCTGGAATCAACTGGAATCAATCTACATGGGTTTGTCTTGTTTTACTACTTTTTAGTTGTGTGTCCACAGGCGAGTCATTTAACCCTCTCAGTCTCAGTTTTCTGCTTTGGAAGATGATTTTAAGAATATCAAATTTATAGGGTTGGTATGAAGATAAATTAGTTAATTCATGTAAAGAGCTTATTACAGTTCTTGGCACATGCTAAGTGTTTAATAAACTCTTATTGTATTCTTAATCATATCAGATGTTTAGAAATACTAAATGTAAATTTGTCCTATTCATTATTAGGGAAGGTGTGCTCGAGAGAACTGCAAGTACCTTCACCCTCCTCCACACTTAAAAACTCAGCTGGAGATTAATGGACGCAACAATCTGATTCAACAGAAGACTTTCGCAGCCATGTTTGCCCAGCATATGCAGTTTATGCTCCAAAATGCTCAAATGCCACCACTTGTAAGCAACAGCTATGTCTTGCAAATGGCTAATCTATGTTTTTTCTTAAAAGAATATATATGTATTGGAATAGTCTTGCAGGGACTGGGAAGTTAGCTGCAGCATGATTTAGGACAAGAGCTAATGTGTTAATTGACAGTACAGATCTGTGCATGTGGAAGGAGCAGTCAGGTATATTGAATTGCAAGCCTGGTTGCATTTATGCATGAGTTCACTTTATAAAGTAATTTGAATAAAGGAGCAGAAGCATTTTAAGGTGAGGAGGAGGTTTGATTATTATTACATGGAAACTTTTGAATTCTAGGACAAATTCAAACAAATTTCCTTGTTCTTTGATGGGGATTTTCTTGTTGCCTTTTTTTTTGAGGCAGAGTCTCACTTTCTTGCCCCCAGGAGAATGCCATGGCATCATAGTTTACAGCAACCTCAAACTCTTGGGCTCAAGCAATCCTCTTGCCTCAGCCTCTCGAGTAGCTGGGACTACAGGTGCCCACCACAACACTCAGCTATTTTTTAGGCAGAGGGTCTTGCTCTTGCTCAGGCTGGTCTCAAACTCATGAGCTCAAACAATCCACCTGCCTCAGCCTCCCAGAGTGCTAGGATTACAGGAGTGAGCCACTGTGCCTGGCCCTTCTCGCTTTTTTTTTGAGACAGAACCTCAAGCTGTCACCCTGGGTAGAGTGTTGTGGCATCACAGCTCACAGCAACTTCCAACTCCTGGACTTAAGTGATTCTCTTGCCTCAGCCTCCCAAGTAGCTGGGACTACAGGTGCCCGCCACAATGCCCTGCTATTTTTTGGTTGTAGTTGTCATTGTTGTTTGGCAGACCTGGGCTGAATTCGAACCCGCCAGCTCTGGTATATGTGGCTGGCACCAAGCCTCTTCTTGCTTTTTAATAAACTTTTTATTTTGAAATAATTTCAGATTTACAGAAGAGTTGTAAAAGTAGTACAGAGTTCCCATATTATCCCTCATCCAGTTTTCCCCACTGTTAACATTTTATATTACCACGATAAATTTGTCAAAACCAAGAAACTGGCATTCATACCTCACTGTTAACTGAAGACTTACTCAGACTTTACCAGGTTTTCCATTAATGCAATCTTTCTACTCCAATATTTAATCCAAGGTACCCCAAGGGTTTTATTTGGATTTTGTCTTCCCTCTCTCCTCTGGTCTGTGACCATTTCTCAGTTTTTCCCTATTTTGTACAACCTTGACTGTCTTGAGGAAGACTAGGTGTTTGACAGTGATTTTACCTTAATGTAGCTACAGTTTCCCTTTGCAGAAATTGATGTAATTATGGTGTCATTCTAGACAAGTGTCTAGTAGTTTTGTGGATCAGTGATTTTAAATGGATCCTTTTAAAAAGTAATTAAGTAATCTCTGTTCATATCATCCTGTTGGAAATTCATGTTTGCCCTGCTATCTTAACACATAATGTTGGATTTTGCTCTTACACTTCTCAAGGGAATTTTAAAACTTTTCTGCTGTAGTTCTTCAGGTCTTGAATTTGGTTCATTAGTGCCTCATTCTAATTTCAGCTGGCCTACTTCCTCTAAACCATTAACAAGATAAATTTTAAAAGTCTATATGTTATCTTTATTTGCTATCCATTTCATCAGTGACTACCTAATAAACACACTGAAAGCTGCAATATGTATATGATATTTAGATGCAATGAAAATGTGGGAGTAAGACAATCTGCTCTCAGCGAAGCCTATCTTATTATACAATTGATTCTCAGGATTCAGAAGGATCTGTGCTGATATGGCACCCTTTAACAAGTACATCTTTATAAATAAATGCAAAAATGGGGGGAGCATTGAGTCACTAAAGTTTTGCACTATGATACTCTATTTCCAGAATGTGTAGACAGATTTAAGTAAAATAAATAGATTTAATCTCTTATACTATTAGCTTGCCAAAAATATTTGCCTTGGAACTCAGTGCTGATTAGTTATGTTGATAAAGGTTGCCAGGGGGCTCCTCAAAGCTCCTGTTTAACTCTCAGTAACACTTTACATAGTCCTTGTTCAAACTCTGGGCTTTCACACACTGAAGTATCTCAGTTCCTCCCTGCTTCTAAGGGAATAGGGAAAAGAAGACCTTATAGATTCTGAGAATAGTGTGAACAAAACATGGAGGAGTGAACATACTCGCAAGCTCAGAAAACGTGAGTAGATGGGAAATAAAGCTTTTATTTATTTATTTATTTATTTGCAGCTTTATTGCAGTACGGTCAACAAAATTGCATATATTTAAGGTGTATCAATAAAGCAAGGTGATTTATGCATACATTGTGAAATGAGACAGTATGAATGAAACTGGAGTGCATTATGCCAAGTGAAATAAGCCAGGCACAGGAAAAAACAAATACGATATGATTTCACTTGTATCTGGAATCTTAAAAACATTGAACTCATATAAACAGAGTAGTAGTGTGGTTGCCAGGGCTGGAAGTGAGGAAGATGAGAGGATGTTGGTCAAAAGTGACTATAGCATGGGAGCTTTTAACTCACTGTTACCACTCTCAGCCTCTCATGAAATGTCCCAATATCAAATTGAGCAGTGAGTAGGAGCCAGATTTTATTATCAGACACCTGAACCCTTCATTGCATTTCCCATGGGGCTGGAGCATGTATCTTTTCAAAGGTCAAGGGACAGCTTCAGGATCCCAGGGATGTGCCCTTCTTCAGGGAATCAGAGAACCAGGCATGGGGTACACATGTAATAGGGATACAGAGGGATCAGACTGTGCACCTTCTCTCTTTTTTTTTTTTTATTGAATGGTAACTGTGTACATTGATGCACTTTGGGGGTACAGTGTGGTGTTTTCACACACAATCCATGACATTTCCATCAAACTGGTTAACATAGCCTTCATGTAACTTTCTTAGTTATTATGTCAAAACATTCATATTCTACTCATAGAAAGATTCACTTGTACCCTTGCAAGATGAACCACAGAAGTGAACCCTCGAATCTCTCTCCCTCCCCCCTCCCCATATCCTTAGGTTGTTATTAGGTTATAGCTTTCATATAAAAAGGTTTAAATTAATTTCATAATAGGTGTGTGTACATTGGATACTTTTTCTTCCATTCCTGTGATATTTTGCTAAGAAGAACATTTTCCAGTGCACCTTCTCTTTAACCTCTGCTGGAGTCTCTCCATTCCAAATGTCAACCTTTCATGCATTTTTGATCATGCTGGCTCACACTGGAGAACAGGACGTAGCTTTTGAAGAGTCCAGTAAGAAATCCATTGAGTTTTCCAGCCACTTGACTTATGCTTTCCAATTTGATTCTCCATGCCTTCTATAATAGAATACATTTCCCCTTCTTTTTTTTTCAATGAGAGCAATTTCAGATTTCAGACTGTAGAAGATGACTGATATGACTCAGAGGAATACAATTTACTTTATAGCATATCACAAGATAACAAGGCATTACTTAGAAGACCCCAGGGAACAATTGGAAATTGCTTCTCTACCTTGTAGATTATTTAACAATAGCTGTTGTGATGTGATAAACTGATAAAAGATTAATTTCTGCAGTTGTTATGTGTAAAAAAAAATCAAACTCAAGATGGTTGATATGCTTCACCACTGTGGTCTAAGAAGCTGCTCTGTAGATGCAGTGTAACTGAGCCAGTGTGAACAATTTTAAGTGACATGCACCAATCTGATTTGTAAAAAAAAAAAAAATTATTATGAATCCTGATATTAAAGGAGCAGCATATAATTTTACTTAATTTCTCAGTTACCTGCTCTCCCCAGACAACTCTCTATCCCTTTTAATCACCCCCAAAATGATCAGATTCTTATTCCTAAAATAGTCAAGCTTTTTGTTTTTAAAATTTCCAGTCCTGGTATTTGTATGGTGCATATTAAAGCCCATTTGTATCACTGACTTGATCTCAGGTTTTCAAAGCATACTTTGATCCATTTTTAGGATACCATAAAAGCACATTTGCCTTTGCAAAATTGAATGTGGTTTGCATATTATTGGCCCCTAGGTAAAGGGAATGTCAACCTAAGTGGGATGGTAACTGGAGAAAATATTCTACTGAGTATGAATGAACAATGAATAAAAGCTGCACCTAGTCCATTTGGGTGGAATGCTTACTGTAGCAAACAGGTTTGCTCACTGCCTTTAACGGTCTGAGTTGACATATGCTAGTGTAAAATTCCACCTCAAAGCCTTTTGTTGGCTTTATTAATTAATAAGGAAGTTTGGCAAGTGAATCAAAGGGTGCGACTGTCTAGTATTTTTCAGTGCAGTCGGAGAGGGATTGCTTTCTGATGTTCCCAGCAAAAAATTCTAAGTTTAACAACTTCCCTTAGCATAACCAGGAGGCAAATATCAGCACTATAAAAGAATGTTAGGAAAAGTAGACACACTGGCTTACTCTCAAAGCTGAAGTTTTAAAATTTCAGTTTCACAACTAGGAATTTTAGTTATGAGGAAAGATTCTCATTACTGCATGTCATGTATGTATGTATGTATAAAGTGATATGATATTCTAGCTTATTAAAATATTTTTTATTTGGACATTTTACATATCTAGACCTATCTATATCTGGGAAATTCCTTTAGCTTCTCTCGTTGAATATGGTGATTCACATTGAAGCAGATCCTGACACACAGGTGAACTTGACCTACCTGAATGTATTTACCTGATAATTTATATAGAAATTGTTGGCTCAGCACATTTGAGGTTCCATTGGGGTGTGCCAGGCCCTCTGGTTCTGCTGTGTGCTTTTCATGGCTTGCTTTCCTGTGGTCAAGTTATGGAGTTCCAAACTGTGAAGGCCATGAACGAGAGTTCTTCTCTCCACATTATCCTTTATCTCAAATGTAGTCATCTGCCTCCCTACACTTTTACATCATTCTTATAATTCTATTTACCACATATATTTCTCATAAAGAGGCTTATATGTTTATTTAACATTAATACAGCAGCGAATGAAGGTGATGTAATAGTTCAGAACAAAAAA